TTCAGGAATTGTTTGGTCCATATTTGAATGCAGGCTGGGAGTGTGTGTGTATGTGTACTGGCCGAAAATGTCCCACCACATTAAAGGTAACTATACAAATATTTGTGGCAACAACACAAACACTAACTTCGGCCGGAGGCCAAAAACAGACAGATTTATAACTGACCCTTTGGTCAGCTACTTTATCCTGAGAATCCAAACATCCACTATGACGGACTGGCAGGCCACTGTTGATATGGTAACCCCATCACGCTCCCCATCATACATCCATCCGACCATCCATCCATCCATATGAGGAAAGTCTACGGTTTTATTGAAAGTTTAGAAAAAAAAAATAGACGGACGGTTGGTTTAGTTGGGGTTTCCATTCAGTTTTGAAATGTTGCCAGTTATTAAGTGGGAACAAATACCAACTATGACCATTTGAAATAGTGGCTTCATTCGTGGTGGTCCGTATTTACTGCCCGCATTTTTATTTCTAAGCAATTATCTTTCAGGGCACAATGTATCAGAGAATGCGAGAATGGGTATCTGTACAATGCTGTGGGTCTGCTTAATGGCCACACAAAGCATTAAGTACTTCACTGGCATTACCAAAATGTTTGGAATGTTTAATGAAGCCGCTATAAATCAAGTAAAGTACGATGAAATTTTGCAAATGCTTTTCACATAGTGTCCAAAACTAATAACAGTAGAACACCAACCAATGGGCAACGAGAGCTTTGATCATATTACCATGACATTTAATAATTGTCATCTAAATCTGCTAATAACGAGCGCTTTTCGTAGGTTAAACTAAAAATACGGGGATAGTTTCCAGAGCAGTTAAATACGATTACTGTTGAAAAAAACCTTTTAATAATTATTAATTGTAGCTTAGGGTAAGAAAAAAAATGTTCGCATGATACAGGTATTTTGGGAAGAGTGCCAATAACCAGTGCAACACGTTACTTTCAGCATTATCAGTAGGTCGAAAATAATAATAACTACATACCTCCCTGCAATACCAGTAAGCAAACATTTCTATAAAATTAAGATTTTACTTTCATCCTACCAAGTAATAAATCCGACTATGTCTAAGGTCCTTAGACCCAGTAAACAACCAAAAATAGGCAAAGATGTACAAAAATCAAGTTTGAAGACTATATCGTATAGACCCCATATAATCCGAAGTCCAAATATTCGGGATTTTGGTGATTTTAGCCCCACTTTTTTCAATGGACTTGTCTGAAAATCCACATTAGAAGTTCCTTCTGAGTACTTCACGCCCTGAATGATAATTTTCCAGAATTGTTTCTAATTTCGGAGCTGAAGCTCGTAATGGGTACTACAGCCTTAACAAAAAATTTCGTATGCAGGCGCACATTGTCGTAAAACCCCTATATCACGGGTTTCCCCTATATCACGGATTTCCTTTTTCGACAGAATTTTTTGGAAATTTTTCAAGATCCTTCAAAATGGCGGAGGGTATTAAAAGTTCGGCCCTGTGGAATTTAGGTACTTTTACTTACTTGTTTAGTCTCGAGTTGCTATAAGTAGGCGATTTCGACTGTCGGATTACGCGAACATTTCGAAAGGCACATTCTAATCTTTGAAGATTCACACTGTTGGTGTGAAGGATTAAAATATGGATGTGATGTTGAAGATCCTTACTACACATGTACGAAAAGTTCAAAATATTTACCTATTTTACAAAATGTTGTCCAATCTTTAATAAAGGTACAGTTTTTGCGCCAAGACAGAAGAGATCTGAATATAAACAAACTGAATATTGATCGGAACTGATTGTATTATCCAATCCAGAAAATTCCAAAAATTAAACTTTTTTGATAATTATTCCTTATCCTTTTAAAAACATAACACATTGTTTATTAAAAAAAATATTTTGTTTGTATTGTTTTTTGATACAATAAAAAAAGACATCTTAACAGCTTTTCAATCGGTAAAAGTTACAGAATGGGCCTACAGTGTTAAAATAGGAAATACGCGTATTGGTTTTTTCCACATTTTTTGATATTCTCGGATTGAGGTTCCTTGCATTTTAGGTCATAGGCAATATTATTGATTACAATACGTGGATTATTTTGGTCGAAAAAAGTTATAGAATAGGCCTATAGAGCTAAAATAGGAGATATGCGTATTTTTTTTTTCTTTTTTGGAAGTTCCTCTCTCTTCCACATTTTGTGATATTCTCGGATTGTGATTCCTTGGAATCATTGCATTTTAGGTACTCCGTGTCATCGGCAATATTACTGATGACAATACGAGGATTATTTTGGTCGGAAAATTAACCCTCAAGAGAGTCATTAAAGGTGTTTTTTGGTCCTTAAAAAATAATAAAAATTCTTTATACAGGATCGTAAGAGAACAAAATATTATACAAAATTATTTGTTATTAAATTTTAGCATAAATCTCAAAATACATATAAATTCTGAACCTACCAGAAAGTCAGAAATGCATGCTTTTCAAAAAAAAATATTTGGTAATTCTCTAATAAAACACTATTTTAGTAGGAATCAAACTTTTTCCGAATTTGCTGCAATTCTATTAATAATTTTCCTCTCCAACAGCCAGTGTAAAAGACGCCAGGGTTTACATTTAAAATATCAGAAGAGGGGGGCAAATATTCGAAAAGATTAGTCATAGGATTTACCAATTTGAAATGGGCGGAGAATTTGACAGGTTGGCCTTGGCAATTTGACCCAACATAAGGCAAGTTTGCTCTTGGGATTTATAGTTGGGCACGTTTGGGCGCAAGAAATTGTAGATATACATCACGAAATCTTTTCTGTTAAAACACCCAGGCTTTGATGCTAGAATTTGTGCATTTTAAAGTACGCAATTGGGAGCTCGAATTTTTTCTTTTTCAAGATCCAAGATAGGGCGCAAGAAATTTTCTATTAAATGACCCAAGATTGGAAGCCTGCATTTTTATTTTGATTCAGAGTAGCTGGTCTCGAGCTCAGCGAACATCATAGAACACTGTTGTAGAATACATGGCATCAGATGTTGTAAAGTAGCTGGTCTAAGAGGGCACTGATCTAGAGTGTCTGGTCTACAAGGCCACAACTGTAGAGTAGGTTTTTATACCTCCGCCATACTGGAGGAGAGTATATTTTATAACCTCCACAATACCATTGCCTTTGTCATTCCATTTGTATCTCCTGAAAATACTTATGTCGGGGCCAATAAAGTATATGTATTCTTCTTGAGCGTAAAATTCTAAGTCTATCCGTCTGTCTGTTGTTTCGGAATTGTTTCAAATTTCGTATTTAAATTTCGTAATGGGTACTACAGCATATACAGGAAATTGCGTATGTAGGGCCTCATCTTCGTGTAGCCGCCATATAACGGTTTTCACTTAAACCGCATTTTCCAACAAAATTTTTTTAAAGTTTTTTTTAGTTTCGACGAAATGGTGGAGGGTATTAAAAGTTTGGCCCGGTCGAACTTAGCTTTTTTTTCTTTTTTTTTTATACCATGATTGGACGCAATTTTTGAATTTTCCATTGAATGCCCCATTATTGGAATATAGAATTTTCCTATCACAGGACCCATATTCAAAACCCTAGTAAATATGACGACGAAGCAAGTTACCTATTACACGAATCACTCCTGATATGGTCTGACAAAAACCAGCGCTAAAATTGGTGTATTTAAATAATTTGTCTGACCAAGAAAACACGGTAAGACGTCAGAATTTCTTAATTAAAAGCCAACTAATGTACGAAAGACTTTACCTATTCATAGACCTTCAATTGGGCACCAGTACCCTTTTAAGTTATCAAGGATTTTGGCCGTTTTTTTTTTTTTTTTTGTAGAATATACAACTTTTTGCCACTTTCTGCATTTAAGTAAGTTTTCTGGTACTTTCATGCATAACCCTAAAATGTGCTTATGTTTTATGAATTCATAGTGTTTAGTTATAATTTAGATTTTTGATGTGTTCTGCGACCTATAGTGGGATGTTATGACAAACCACTTTGCATAATAAATTTGGTTTGGTACGATCCAGTAAAAGAGTGTTTTTACTTATTTTGGGGAAAAGGACGAAAAAGACAGCTTGGTAGAATTGCCTTTACATTTTCGATAAAAACAAGTAAAAAACATTAAGATTGGCCGGGCCGAGCCGAGCCGAGCCGAGCCATTTAATACCCTCCATCATTGAGTAAAGTATCTGAAGTCAAACGTGATCTACTTTAAACTACAAATACCAATAAGACCCTTTGAATAATACAGTTAAACTACGCATAGAGCGAGTGAGGAAGTTTTATAGGGGCCATACCAAAACGAGAACCTATGTATATAAACAATATTATGCTACATGGATTGTCTTCTATTTCTAGCTTTAAATGCCAAGTTTAAAAAAAAATCGTGGTTAAAAAATCGTGGTTGACTAATATTATCAACATACCGAAAATCGGTGGGTACTTTTATATGTGTGATATTGGAAAACATGAATCTAGATATTCAATGTTCTTCAACCGGAGAGAGAACCAATTATGAACTACAAAAATCATTTTTTAGACAAATCCGTCGAAAAATGTGGCAAAAATCATCAAGAGACCGAATTTCGGAATTTAGGGTTAAATGGGGGCTATACGAAAACGTAGACCTGTACATACAATGTTCCACTATTGGAGCTAGAAACCATTATGACCTACAAATACCAATTTTTACACAAATCCATGAAAAAATGTGGCGAAAATACTGAATATCGGGAGGTACCGATATATATCGGCTATACCAATACGTGGACCGGTACATATCATCTCATCATTACTAAATCGACTTAGCTGAACATGAATATGTATACTTTATGGGATAGGACGATCTTGATCCATCATAGCTTTGTTTTCCCCCCACCAAAAATCTGTGAAATTGTAGCACGGTTTTCTGTATATTAATAAAAATTTTATGTTTCTTTTTTTGTAATATTTATTTACTAATATTTTTATTCTTAATTTTCGTTTTTTTTTTCCTTCAATCATACATAACATTTAATTTATTTCAAATAATGTTTCTTATTTGTTGGTTTTTATTAATACTTTTTTTAGAGTCCACATAGAGGACTCTGATACTTACATTAGTTATATTATTTTGCATATTTCAGTAGGCATGTATGTAAGTAATTGTTTATTGTAGTCTTAATATATCTATAGTTATTATTATGTACATTCATTATTAAGGAGCTAATAAAATATATTTATAGTTGATATAAAGGAATAATTAATTATTACGAATATTATTGCACTTATCTGTATGTGGGGGTTGCTCTTAAAATTATTGCAGATTTAAATTTACAAAAAGAAAGAAAAACATAATAAACAAACATTACTTTTATAAATTGTTTTCCATAATTTTGATTTAAAATACTTGGTATAGCTTCAAGTACGAGAATACATGTAGGATATCTAGCCTATTATGAATTCTCCTCCTTTCATCTCACATAACTAACGAATACTAATCATCACAAGTGTTTTCTATTCGAATACTTTGCATAATACCTTAGTTATATTTTGAAAATAAACTAGAACTAAAATTAATTTACAAAAAATGCCTCGACCTTGAAATACTATTTGACAACATTATATCTAAACACTTTAAAAGTTTTTTCTTTTTTTCTTTCCATTACTATTTTTACTATATATTTGCTAATTTTTTGAAATGGGGGATATTTACAATTGGATATCTGTGCGATGGGTGTACAGCATAGATATCCTTAAGAAACATTGCACATTGGATTTGATCTATACATGGAACCATAACATATTGTAGAATTTGGTATTTGGTGGCTTAACTTCTAATTTTTTGAGTTATTTACAAAAATGCAGAAAACTGGACTCGCTCCTGACCTCTGCCTGTATTTAGATGGGTGTGGGCATAACTGTATAGTCCTGATGCAGACTGGACTTGACAGAATCGTATACTGGTCTGCCGGTATCTTCGGGCAAAGCATAGACATCGGGTGGCACGCACAGCGATTGTAACTTGGAGATGTATGAATCGAATGGTTCTGGATGAGGATAACCGGCAGGATGATGTACGGTATAGGGATGATGAGCGGCTGAGGCGTGTGTCGGAGGAGGGGGTGGTGGTGGTGGCGGATGCATACCGCCGGGATGTGAGCTTGTCAGCGGATGCATGGTACTGCCGTACATTGATACAGCACTACTGGCCGATATGGATGCACTGGGCAAGGGACCTGGTGGTATTAATGTGGGATGAGTTGCATAGGCTGAATGTTGATTGGAAACACCGGACACACTTGAGGTGGCTGCCAATGGACTGCCAGTCGCTGCTCCGGTGCCATGACCAGCTGGTGGTATTCGTACATGTTCTAATAGGGTGATTACATTGTTGCGTAAACTTTCGTAGTAATTGTTAATGTTGGAGGAAGAGGAAGACGATGAAGGGCCAGACGTTGTTGAACCATAGCCGTCATTAATGGAGGAGGAACTAGCATTTCCTCCTGCATCTAGGCCGGATGAGGTGGCGCTTCCATTTCCTACTCCTCCTCCGCCACCTGCTCCTAGGTGACTGTTGATACCGGCGAAGGAGTTCGTGAGGCTGTTGGTGTGGCCGTTAGCGTTGCTGCCGCCATTGGTGGAGTCCGCGAGGGAACTGGTCGTGCGGCTGGAGGAGACTGCAGCAAGAGCTGCTGTTCCTCCAGCAGTGCTAGTCACCGAAGCGAGAGAACGCTGTTGATGAGCACTCAGCGGAGAAGTCTCCTGAAATGAAATAAGCGAAGAAAAATATTTTTATTAGTAAATGGGAGATGCGAGTATGGAAAATGATTGCTTAAAGAGAAGAATAAAAATAAATATCTTGAACTGAGTAGTGTGTAAAACTTAAATTATTTCTGCTATTAATTTAAATAAGTGGCATGCTGATTTAAATAACGTTTATATTTGCTTCATGTTAGTTATATTGAACTAGAAAAAAATGTAGTGCATACATTTAAATGTGAGAACGTTAATGAAGGAAAATGGGATTTCAAATAAAAGAAAATAAAAAATTATGGCCTATTTTTATACCCTTCACCATACATAGTATGGAGGATATGGAAGATTAAGTTTGTCATTCCGTTTATAACTCATCGAAATAATAATTTTAGACATAACATAGACGATTTTGCCCTGTCCGACAGTTCGAACGTATAAAGATAGAAAGCTAAAACTTTACACAGATCTTTCTTTTGTCTGCAGGCAGATCAAGTTCAAAGATAGGCTATATCGGTCCACGATATCGTATAGCCCGCATATAACGGTACCCCCGATATTCGGTATATTGATGATTGTAGCCAAATTTGTCAATAAAATTGTCGGAAAATCCACAAAAGGAGCTCCTTCTGAGTACTTTGCCCCCCTATTTTGCAATGGAATTGTCTACAAATCCATACTAAAAGCTCTTTCTAAGCACTTTACTCCCTGAAAGAGAAATGCATTTTAGGTCCAGGGCATCGTATAGTCTCCATGTAACGGTACCTCCCAATATTCGGTATTTTGATGATTTTAGGGATATTATTCACCGGAGTTGTTTCAAATTTCGTATTTAGAGTTCGAAATTGGAACAACAGTCTATGTCAGAAAATTGTCTATGTAGGTCCAGGTCTTCGTATAAGTCGCATATATCATTACCTCCATAATTCGGTATTTTGATGATCTTAGGTACAATATTCACCGAAATTGTTTGAAGTTTCGTATTTCAAGTTCCTAATAGCCTATGACAGAAAATTGTCTATGCAGGTCCAGGTCTTCGTATAGCCCCGATATAACGGTACCTTCTTATATTCAGTATTTTAATGATTTTAGCATATTTACCAGATTTTCAAGTTTTTTTTTGATAATTGTAATGGCTTAAGGCAAAAGTTACATGCAGGTCCACGTCTTTGTATAGACACCTATATAACGGCTATATTCCGTTTTTTTTTTTAATTTTTTAACAGAAATTTTATTTTTTGAAAACTACCAGATTGAGTATAAATCGAGGAAGGTATTCAAAGATCGGCCCGAACCTACTACTTTTCTACATATTTGGTCATTCATCAGCTACAAATCCAAAGGCAGCTGAAAATAACTTTGCAAATGAAATCATTTCTAGCGTTAGAAATTCTATTTTTTGAGGGTTTCAGCCGGGAGTTTTTAAAAATGTTGATTCTCTCGAAATTATTGCTTTGGCACTTATTTAAAAAAAAATACGAAAAGTCCGACGTCCCGATTTTACAGAGCGCAATCCATATCAGACTAATACAAAATAAATTTGTCGAAAAATATTCAAATCTATTGAGGCAATCCAGCAGATTGTGAAAGTAGAAGTAGAAATATAAATATTTACACGTGTATCTCCGCATTTGAATTTCACATCGAGAAGAAAACAACGCCCCCCTCCCCCTTCTAGATTTTTGAAGTTTTCGGATTAATATACCTAACAGTTTAGGTACATACTCTCTGGACCGATAACAATACGAGTATTATTGTTGTCGAAAATCATATCCCCCACCCGAGTCAACAAAGAAGTCTTCTTGGGATATTTTCAAGATATAGTTAAAAATCCCCTAAGCGGAATCATAAAAGTCATTTGAATTATTTTTCAAAAATTCTACTATGGGCCCCAGACGACATCAAAAGTCTGAATCTTAGCAAAACGCCAGGATTAAATGTAACATTTCACGCATGACGTCAAAGACAATTTTATTGTTCATCAAATTTCAATTAAAAATCAAGAAAATGATTGCATTAATGTTACCAAGAAGTGGAAAACATTTTCTATATATTTTTTTTAATTTTCCTGAGCCTTTTTCGATTTGCTGCATGAAAGTTACACAAAATTTCTTTTTAGGTAAAAAGTGAAAAATGAGGAAATATTCTAAAAAAATTTCACATAACATATAACATTTCATCTATTCCCACAATAAGCTGGAAAATGTATATCATAACATTAACGGAAAACCCGATAATTTGATGTACCTAGTTTCTTGATACGAAAGAGAGAGTATTCCATATTTTCATAATTCGACGTTTTTTGGAAATGTTTACTTCAAAACGCTAAGAGTATGGAGTTTGATTTACAACAATATGTCGATCTAAATCTTCTTTCCCATAGTGTAAAAGTAAACATTTTTAATGCTGTCATACATAATATTCTTTAAAAATAAGATATCTACTCATGAATTTTTCATAGCAATAAAAACAAGTATTAACAATGAAATAGATATTTTTGTCATAATACTTCAGCCACCAACCAATCGAATTAAAATTAATTCAATTTTATTGGTTTCGAAAATGGCGACAGAGAACATAAAACAGGAAAATAAAATAAGGAACAAATTCACACACACACACATGATGATGATGCTAGTATGTGTTGGTGGGCTTGATTTATATATACAAACAAAATAAGAAGTATATAAAAAATATATAACATATGTATATACTACGTGTATGTATATAGCAAAAAAACACATTCACTTATTGTTACCAATAAACAGCAGACAAGACAATATTCTCTTCTACACACACATACATATATTGCAGCATAAAAAAGAAAAAAAAAACTCTACATACACATATGTATTTTTGGGTTGGTTGCTAACGGGGGGGTTTATGTAACGAAGAATATGAAAAAAGATAAACACAACACATAAAAGGCAGCAAATTGTGACGCCCTTTTCCATTGTTTGTTTGTTGTAACAAGCGAAAGGAAAAAATACATTGGGGCAATAGTTTTTTTCTCTTCGCTTATTTCATATACGCACACATACACATGTAGAAAATAGCACACACACACGCTCTGAATTTCATTTCCCTTGAGTTGGTGGGGTTTTCCCCCATATTCTAGAGGGATGTTGCTCACCCGATGAAACACATAACGTTTTTCATTGGTATATTGTCGAGTTGTTGGCTAGGAGCCTCCTGCTACAAATACACACAGAGCATTCACGCATACATTGACAGTGAGAGCAAGTTGCGAACATTTATGTGAGCCTGCCCTCTTGGGAGGCCAAAGGTTAAACGCTGTTGCCGTTGATGATGATGATGATAAAACAGTCTCAAGTGATGGGCAAGCCCGACCAACTATGGGTTGGGGTTGGGGAGACAACAATTTCTATTTGTTGTTTGTGTTGCGAGTGTGTGTGTGTGTTTTTCTCCCGCTATGTGTGAGTGTTGGAGAAAGGTGTGGTATTGGTGGCTGGTTGTTTCTTTCTTTCTTTCCTTCGTTAGGAGGTGGAGTAGTGGCGCTGTGTTGATGTTACGAGAATGGGGGATGGGAATGGGGCTGGAGAAACTCCAAATTTCCATTGCATCTTTGCGCGCATGGACATTTTGATGTGTATTCGTTACCTTTAGGGATTACCAGAACTTTTAGGGGTTGTTGGCTTGTTTGTCAGTTAGTTGTCGTCGTTGTTTTTGTTGCTGTCGACTGGAAAGCCACAGCTGCATAGGAGAATTGCATTAACAAAGAAATTTCATTGGTAGACCTCATTTCAATGATATTGAGAGCATGAGGTGTAAAACGCCATTTTGAAATATACCATTGTCGCCTGGGTGGGGGCTATGGCAAAAGACCCGACCACACATGGGTTGAATACACATTTATAAATGCTGGAGGATATTTTTATTGGAAAAAATCAATTCCCATTGTTTTTCATTTAAGCAATTATGTTTTTAGTTTAGAAACTAATTGTCGTATTTTTAGATCCCCACCAGCGTTCAAATGAATAAATACCCACATGGCAGACTAACTTCCTCAGACAACCGAAAAAAAACTTTTTCTTGAAATAAAAAAAAATTATTATTAATTGATAAACTTTTGTTGGGGTGCTGTTGGACTAGCACGTTTTTTTTATTCGTCGTCGTCACCCGTGCCACAAAAACCCACAAAGTCAAGTTAGTAATAATTTAAATAACAACAGCGTCTCAACCGCCAAGGCGAACATAACGAAGGGGGGGATTTGGCAAAAATTAGAACTTTATGTTTGGGTTTTTGAGTTTAGCGAGTTTGGCACAGAAAAAAGTTACGGCGGCGCGTTTAAACAAACTTTGTTTTATTGTTAGAAAAACTCCAACTTTTCCCCAACAGCACCGCACCAGGGCGAGAGGGGGTCCATGCAAAAGTTTGGATTCACCAGAAACGAAATCAAGACTTTTGAGACGTCCTTGAAAACTAATTTAAAAGAAAGTTTAGACAAACAGCCATTCGCAAACTCACACGAATACTTTCTAACGCTGCTGCAAACAACTACAAAGAAAAAAGCCGGAAGTAACAATGACTGAAGAAAGTGCAAGAAACCAGAATGACAAACAGAATCGAAAGAAACAGGAACCAAAAAACAAAGGAGAATATTTTAATTGGCTTAACTAACGCCACGACAAACAGGCAAAACAAAAATACGAAAGAAAAGAAAAACATGGCCAAAAGAGATCAAGAAAATATGAAGCCGAAAACGGAATTAAACTAGGAAATACTTATGTTGCCTCAACGAACCTGAGCCTACGTACCCTATCGCTGGTGTTCAATTGTGACTCCATGGCATTGATGTCCGACTTGAGACGCATCATCTGAGACTCGACACGGGCGTTTTCACGCTGCAGTTCTGTGATTTCAGCCTCTAAAGTATTAAGATCCTCATTTGTTTCATTACCAGTTGTATTGGAATGTATACCTGCTGTGGCGGAGGACGATGCGGACGACGAGGATGCGGCGGCACTGACCGACTGTGACAGGCTGTCGGGCAGCATGCCGGCCGCCACACTGCTCGAGATGCTGGACGAGCTGTTGCCATTGCCCAGCGGAATGTTTGACGAGGATGAGGAGGCTGAAGCGGATGCTGAGACAGCAGCTGCTGCCGCCGCGGCTGCGGCAGACACCGAAACGGATGAACCACCACCCACTGCATTCATCATCATGTCCATACCTATAGCATCGAAAGAGGGAAGAGAAAGCAAAACGACACATGACACATTTGTACAACCTGCTGCGGGAGCAAAAGGTGAGCGTGTGCTAAACAATTTTCATTGTCATTGATTGGGGGCGTGTTGGTGTGATTGATGGCGAAATATAAAGGGCGAGATTACTCTACTCAATTTGCTTACCTCTTCGTTCACTTCGTCAACCCTTAGGCACTTGACTTGATTTCAATTTGGGCTGTACTTATGATATGATTGGGTCTTATTTTTGTCTGTCTGTTTTGGAGTTCGGATAGTTTTTTTTTCTTATAATTGTGGTTTAGTTATTTACATGTATTTTGTCTGTTTAGAGAAGATATTCCGCACCGATACAAAAAGTCGCATAATCTAAAATAAAAAACAAAAAAATCATCATCAAAAAACGAACGAATAAAAGTAGGGTAGAGGGGAGGGATGAACAAAGAAATATATATTTTTTTCTTTAATTTCATATAACGACCAACATAAAAATCAAGAACAAAAGGAGGTAAGTGTTAGTGAAACTAGATGGCGGTGGTGTGATGTTACCAGAAACAAAGACGTGTTTTTTTTTGAGAATAAAAAATTGTTAGCACACGCACACAACTTAAACGAAAATATTTACGATATTACAAGGCAAGGCATTAGAAGCGTCCAATGAAGTGAGGTCCATGAAAAACTGTTGAAACTGCCATTCGGAAGTATTCCTTTCAAATAACTATCCAATAGTTCACTTGCTTTTAGACTCACAATAAACAAAGATTGTGATTCGGATAGCATGCCTAATTCATAGACGTTTCAGTATAAGACAGGGAACCACCCTTCTAATATTAAAACATTAAAGGCAGGATATTTAACAGCATCTTTAGAATTAGAATTTTGTGACATTTCCTTGGACTCTTAACTCATTTGGATGCTACATCGTGCTGCCATTTACTTTACTAATACTACAACACTACATACGAGAATAGCATTAGCGATATTTACCTGTATAGCCTTTGGGATAGACCATGGTAACCTCATCGAATTTGGGCTTTTTTATGGCTTGCGAAGCTGATCCACATCCTGATGGTGAAAAAGAGCGAAAGTAGGCCTTGGATTCTAGATCTTCGGATAAAGTAGTGGCATACGTACCATCAAACTTCATGGCAGTTGCGGCAGCCACAGCGGCCTTGTGTTGTTCCACAGTGCCGCCAGCTTCAAGGACACGCATTTTGTTACGATTAGCAATAGGACAACCAGATGCACTGCGAAAAAATACAAACAGACACACACATATTTTAAATCATCCTTAACATCACTCTGCTGCTGTATGACTCACCTTCTGTGGGATAGAAATTTGCCAGTAGAGTGGCCAGAACCATCACAGCCAGGGATGGGACACCTAAGAAAATATATCTTCATTCAATTCACTGTTTCACTTTAAATGCACTCTTCCCATAACTTACCTCAACGGTTCCGAGTCTTGGCCATCGCGTGGTTTACTCTTTGGCTTATTGGCTCTGGGACAGCCCGACAGACTGCGATGCGAAGAATAATTACCAGTAACATGGCCAGAGCCATCACAGCCGGGTGTTGGACATTTCAGTTCTTGTGAATGGGGTTGGAGATGATTGCGATCCGTTCGTGGACAGCCAGTCAAACTGTTTTAAAGAAAGATTTACATTAATCTCTTATCTCTCACGTTGCTGAGCGGCACGAGGATGCCTTGGCATTTGCTAACGAAATGGAATTCTTTGGAAAAACTTATTCCCTAATCCCTTCAATCAATTGGCAATTGAAAAGGAATTTAAAATTGTAAAAATAGTTTTGTTATGAAATCGTTGGAAAGTTTATCTAGCCAAGTGGATGAGTTATCGGCCAAACAAAAGAATGGTCATTGTTTCATGGCTGAATGAATTTGAAAACAATCGAAAATCTCCTTAAATTGGAAATTTCCAAAGAACAGTTTTTCAAGGCAATAAAGCAGAAGTTAATTGGGAAAAGGTGGAGGATTGCTTTCATTTTAACATAGAAATTAGATTTTTAGTTTGCACTTTCGTTGTATGGGTGTGCATGTCTGTGGTGACTCTCTCTTCCTCTCTCGTTGTGTTAGTTGGTAGATTAACCTTTATTCTCAAAGGATTGTAAATTTTATGACCGTCCTGTTACGGACTGTAGCCACACATCTTAATAAATATTAAAATCTCAACGACAATGTGCCAAGGATAATCAACCCAGGCGAAAAGGACAATGGCCAATGTAACCAAGTGTTACATTGTAAATAACAAAACACATACACACACATAGTCATCATCATCGTTCATTATCATAATAATGAATTTTTGCCTTCGCTCTGACCATAAAACAAAATTAAGGACAAGCAGGAATCCTTACACACACACACTCACACACAATTTAACTAAGTTATAGTTTTTGTATTAAATATTGGTTGGAAACTTGCCATTCAACTAACCTATCCTTCGACTTGTCATGCTGTGGTATGTGCTGAGGCGGTGGCATGGAGTAACAGGATGCTGGACTTGTCGAATAGCCACCCGATACTGGGGTCGGATATCCGCCCGGACCAACAGCAGTGGCATAAGGATTGCTACACTGATATGCGGCGGCTGCTCCATAACCATGATAGCCGGCTGGGGGATAATCGGACTGGACAACCATACCATAGCCGGGATGGGGAGAGTAACCTGCAAGCAAAAGTCACACAAAAGACAGCACGAAAACATAGGGAACACACATTACAAACATATCCTTGCCAATTGTCTCCACAGCCTTCTTTGTACTTACCACTGGGATCCCGATAACTGTCAATGTAATGGGAGCCACCACTGTCCGGGGTTGATTCACGACTATAGGGCCGGGGACCACCAATATGACCAACGAGACCAAAGCCTAAAGGACGAGTAGGACCACTAAAATCAACAGGTTCCATGTGAGGAGATCGAGGCGTACCATTTGCTGCCGATGTCGGCAATCCGGGACCAAATCCTTGCGGATGGGCACCTACCACTACACCATCAGGATGGGCTCCGTACTGGGGACTGGTGATGATGCTGTGCGGCAATCGGCTCACTGTCAGATCCAATGTTTGACCCTGGGGACTTGGCACTTGGGGGCTGGCCACATTCGGACTGGCACCTGGCTGGGGACTTCCTGCACCGATTCTCTGGCTGTACTGGTTGTGTGAAGCTGGCGAATTGAAACCCTGAGGACTGGACGATGTTACGGATGTAGAACCGGAAAGATCCACAACTGGAGCGGCGGAGGGCGATGGCGAACCGCTTTGCTTCGGCTGTTGCTGTTGTTGTTGCTGCTGCTGTTGCTGACTTTGCTGGGGATGTTGTGACTGCTGAACGGATGCTTGCGACGGTTGTTGTTGGGTTTGTTGGTTTTGATATGCCGCCGCTGCAGCAGCTGCTTGGGCAGCAGCCATTTTCACGGACAGATTTATGGCCGAAAATCCAGGTGGCAAAGGACCCATGCTGGGATCGTAGTGGTACATGGGCCTAGGATAGATGGGGCCACCGTTTGTCATCTCATCATGTTCCACCTTGGCCATCAGCAGCTGTTGGTCTTGCAGATATTTCTGTTGTTGGGAGTGAATGTCGTCAGCCGACTGGGGGAGATATGGATACATATTGGCCGGTCGTTGGCCACCACAGTTGGGATCGTAACGCTCAAAGGCTGTGCTCAAGCCGCTGACACCACCCGAAGGTGTTGAAGAATCCACATAGGACGAAGACACACTGGACGATATCGATGTTGGAGGATTGGGATCATAGCTACGGGAACTGGGCGAAAGGTTGCCGTTGTTACTGCTGGACAACATGTCACTGGCTCCGTAGGCCGACGGTGGTTTACTCAGGCTGTCGCTGCCATTCGAAACGTGATGGCCGTAACGCATGTGTTCATACTGTTGTTGTTGGTGTTGTTGTTGCTGCTGCTGTTGTTGTTGTTGGGGGTCGCCTTGCTGCTGTGTGTTGGCCTGCTGTGAATGGTGGTCATTGTGATAGGATTCGCTCACGCCATCACCACTTGCCGTTGTATTGCCCGCGGACATCATCAGACCGGAAGAGCCCTCAATGAATGGACCCCGTTGCTGATGCATTGTCTGGCTGTTGTGAGGACTTTGCTGATCGCTAATGGCATGCGACTGCATGCCCACGAAACGGTTCATGTCGTTGTGTGACTGCTGTTGTTGTTGCTGCTGAAGTGTTCCGGATGTGGCGTTGTTGCCAGCACCACTTTGGCCACTGTTGCCACCATTGGCAGCTGACACCGAGGAACTTGTGCCATTCGAGTTTGCACGTCCCGAGGCATTTGTGTTGTCGTTCGATAGATACGAATGCATTGGACTTTTATTGTATTCGGATTTAATATTTGGCACTGGACTGAACTCGGACTTGATGATGGGCATATTGTTGCCGCTACTAATGTGGTTGTTGTTGTTGCTGCTGCCGTTGGAATCCTGGGAAGGACTTTTGTTAGCAATGAGGTTTCCGTTACAACTGACTGTGTTATTCAGATACTGATTCGAAGAGATTTTTTCCACGGAATCTGAAAAAAGAAGAAAAAACAAAAAATTGCAAAATGTATTTAACTATGACATGGAGCAGCAATTGGTAGCTGACGTTGATAGCCGATAGAAGAGGGCAAATAAGGAGCAATTCCAAAAAAAGGATAACAACCGACCTTTATCAAAATTCAAATCATTTCTCTTGGTTTCACTTATTTCCCCACCATTGAGCAACAATTTCAATTGTTTCTTGGCTAAACTTTTAGCTGCCTGCGGACAACCGGATAGACTGCGATGGACACTGCGATGCGGCTGGACATGGCCACGACCATTGCAGCCTGGAGTGGGACATTTTATAATTTGTTCATGTAATGCCAATACTAAATATTGCGGAAGAAAATGAGAGAGAAAAAGAGGGAATGTCAAATCACTCAGTTGGCACTTATCGCAAGGCAACTACTACAACGAGAAGATGAAGGGGATAGTATAGATACACATTCAATTTTGGGAAGATCGGATTTGAAAGAAACACGAAGCGACCTCAAATGTCAACTCTACTTGAACAGATTTACTTCAGAGAAGGACTATCTACAAGATTGAAGATTGCCATGCATTACACACACACACACACACAAATATACAGAAAGAGATTAGTTTGAGAAGTTAGACACACACACATGCTTTGGTTTAGTAGAACAGAGATTGAGAGGAAGAGATCTCAAGAAGATTGAGAGAAGAGAAGGTGTTTTTTTTAAAGATTTTTTTTGAACTTACATTCTGACGTAACTTTATCGCGTTTGGGGCAACCTGATATACTGCAAGTGGTGTAAAGAGATTTTTTGTGAGTTTTTTTTTTTTTGGTTTAAATTTCTGATAATTTGGAAAAAGAGTTATCAAGAAAGCTGCATGATTTTTTGGTGTTAATTTTTTAATGAAAATTTTAAGTATATTATTGGTGTTAATTTTTTATATATGTGTAAATTTTATTTTATGGATATACCAAAAACATAATTATAAGTTCTTTAAATGTGTTAGAAATATAGAAGTTTCATCTGTCAAATTATTTTAATTTTTAAAATTTAATTATGCACTTTAAGTTTGTACGATTCTTAACCAAAATCTTCACTTGATAACTCTTTTCCAGTTATAACACGATTATCGGTACCTTCTGTGATGGGAATACAATCCAGTTATGTGGCCCTGGCCATTACAATTGGGAGTGGGACATTTATTGCCATCTAAAAATTGAGCAAAAGCTAAGAATAACTTTTTCAGATTCAGAAATTAAAAGATAATTTCCTAATGGAAAAATCGAAATGAAAATGTTGTAACCTCTCTCACACTTCCTATTTCCCCCAGAACTTAACGTATACATCCAAACTCATTACATAAGCATTACTTGATATTATCTTAAGTAGCACATGCCAGACGTGGGAGGTGAAATTCTCCAGCAAACAATTTCGGCTTTTTTACTAAATAATTAATTAAAATTTGATGGAAAACTGTTTTTGAATTATTTACATGTCACACACACACTCACGTAGATACAAGCGTATATATGTACTCACTGACATAACCCAAGGCCTCTCACTCTTCTATTCGATCAGAATGTCGTAAAAACCTGTCTAGCGTTTTTTAAACAAGTTTTACAAAAAATCCTTGTAACTGTCTGCCAGGATGCGTGAGTGTATGTGTGTATTTGTGCGTGTGTCTAATGCTGTCGCATCCTTATTATAAAATTCTAATAATGTATGAGTAGTGAAACAAAAAAACAGCAAAAGCAAAGCAAAACAACGAAGGCACTGTCATACTTTCGAAAGTGTTCTTGTGAACAATTTTAGAAAGTATTTTCTTGTCTGCCACTCAAGCTCAAAACTCATCCACCTACACACACACACACACACATACTCATGTACATGTATGTATATTCCTCTTTTAAGAACTCCAGTTTTAGATGAGGTGTATGTACAATATTTTTTGTGGAAAACTTATCTTCTAAATTGAATTTAATTAAAACCAAAAATAACCCTTTGCTTCTAAGCTCAACATTTAACCTGTTCAGTAGCTGGTTTTTCTGTGTGTGAGATAAATTAAGGGGAGAGAATTCGCCGGAAATACTTATTATCTCTGCCAGCAACAATAACAATTTTGCGTAAATAAACACACTTAAGGTAAAAGTATTTTTCAATAAGCAACATATATCCCGAGGTTGGTGAGGATAAGGAGTTACTTGCAATGGAAGAAGGAGTTTTTGTAGTTATATAACAAAGTTAGACCGAATCGATATTTCGGTACCCTTTACTGGGATATTATTGTAAATTCCAATTAAACCATACGTATTAAAACACAACAAAATCTAATTAGAGCTAAAGAAATAAAATCAGACGGGATATTTGGGGTCTATGCCAAATCGTGAAGCTTTATTCGCAAGAGGAAACTTTCAGGGGGTGTAAATTCCTTTTAACTTTCTCTAACCCTGCAAAATATTCAAAGGATGAGGAGAATGCTTTTTATGGAAGTCATGTCAAAAATCTGAATATTTTTTACATTTTCTCCCAGATTTGATGGTCAAATATGGGTGTAGCTAAATCGATTAAAGCATTGATAATTTACTGATATCATTGAAGCCACGCAGGAGAAATTTTTCAATTTTTACTTTGATAAGTGATTCATTTGCTGCATAGAATCTTGAGGGATTATTTCGATGAGTTAAAAAAAAATGACACATTTAATAAAACCTTCATTAAATACAGATAGTGTTTTTATACCCTCCACCATAGCATGGAGGGTATATTAAGTTTGTCATTCCATTTGTAACACCTTGAAATATACATTTTAGACCCCACAAAGTATATATATTCTTGATCAGCATAACATTCTATGTCGATTTAGCGATGGCCGTCCGTCTGGCTTCCGAACGAAATGAAGTAGGTTGATAAAATTTTACTCAAATGCATATTATGTCTGCAGGTATTGAAAATGGGCCATGTAGGCCCATGTTTTGGTATTGTCCCCATACAATGATACCTCCCTATGTTCGGTATTTTGGTGATTTAAGCGACATTTTTCACCGAATTTGATATCGGCTGCAAAGGATACTACTGCCTATGACATAAAATTGTCTATGCAGGTCCACGCCTTCGTAAAGTCCCCATATAATGGCACCTCCCGATATTCCGTATTTTGATTATTTTAGCGACATTATTCACCGGACTTCTTTCGAATTTGATATTTGAAGTTCATAAAGGATGCTGCAGCCTAGGACAGAAAATTGTCTAGGCAGGTCCAAGTTTTGGTATAGCCCCCACATAATGTTTCCTCCTTATATTCGGTAGTTTGATGATTTTATCCACATTATTCACCTATTTTTTCAAGTTTCGCATTTGAATACTGTAATGGCGAATGACAAAAGTGGCCTATGCTGGTCCACGTCGTCGCACAGACCCTAATATAACGGCTACATTCGGTATTTTTTATATTTTAACAGAATTTTTAACGGATTTTATTTTTTTTGAAAATTTTAAATTCGTTCCAAATTGTGGGCCTAACTTACAAAAATGATGAGAATGACAGGACATAATCGATGTAGACAGTATTTACATCAAAGTTCCATTTTGTCTCACCAGAGTAAAAATATTGAACGTATAAAATTTCAGATAATATCACGATATCGTGAATTAAATCAGCAACCTTGCTCATCAATACTGCCAGTTATTGAAACTCAAAACAGATTTCTTCTGTAAAACTTCCTTTAACACATAAAATTCCAAAATGTATAACACAAATATTTTATGAAATGTCAATCATTTTGAAATCAAATCCCAATCCCTTCCCTTAAATTCAATCCATCAGCTAATTATCCTCTAACAAAAAGTCTCCCCCACATATTTATCCATCAAAATAAGCCCTTAAATATAACATTAACTCAAAGTTAAGTGGCAGCAGTAACAACAACAACAACAACAGCAAACAAACGCCACTTTTTGTTATGAATTATTAGTATTTTAGATTTGTTGCTATAGATGTTTTTGTTGCTATTTGTTAGTTGACATTTTTTAAAGAAGTCGAAAACTATTTAAAAAGTCATTGAAATTTTTGAAACCAGGAATGGATGGGACAGGCTTTATGATAAATATGTCTGTATGACAAACCCTTCATTTGCATCCTTTGTTCGGCGGATGTGGAGGTGAGTGTGTGTGTGTGTGCGTTCACTTCTAAAAAGAGCTGCCATAATGACAAAATAAATATGCGTAAGTGGTTTTTGTGGAACGTGTGTTAGCTACACAACCAGAATTATTTTTATTGTTGTTCGTTTTGCCAACAAAGAATTTTCTTAATTTCTTCCCCTGCTCCCCCTTTTGATTGAGCTTAACTACTCGTGGCAGAATTTCAACCAAGTCATTATAAGGCAGGCATATGAATTCCTTGCCGCTCTTCCTTTTATTACGTGCATGTATGCGTGTGTGTTCTGGTTATGAATGTAATGCATGGAAATTAGTGTGACAAAATTGTTATTATTAAAGTTGCCTAAATCATGTTTTGTTAGAACACTACAACAACAACGACCTCACTATTCCCCAGTCAAGCCACGCCACTTGCAGTCAGTCACTCAGTCCACATTATGGTTTTAGCCGTCTTAGCTACGCTTGACTGCTGAGAACTTCCTTTTTCCTTTATGTTTACAAACTATGCCCTGTCGTTGCTTCAACATTTTATGAAAGGCAGCAAACATTAAAAGCTTTGACTTCGATGTCTTCTTTATCAGACCTCTCTACCAGCTAAATGTCTAGCTGCCTATGCCAATGTTCACGTTGCTATTGTTGTCCCTTGGATTGTCGTTAATATTTAGTTTTGATGCCATACGACTTGTCTTGGCGCGTTTTAAGTGCTGGTAAAATGTGCAAATAATAACAATACTTATAATTATAATGCGTGTGTAAATAGGTTTAACTGCCTTCCCAAACACACGCATGTACACTCACTCACTCACACAAACATATGTTTGGGTATTTGCAATAACCTTTTGTTCAGAGGCAGGCTGTATATCTGTCATGTTGAAATTTATCTGTGTGTACGTGAACAAGGTAAGCAGGTTGTTGGGTTGGGGAAAATGTATTTAGTATTTCTTTTGGTCTTTTTTGAATAAATATATGTCTAGGTTTTCTTTTGTGAGTGTGTGTGAGTGTAGGAGTGTGGCCTTTTGGAAGGCTATTGGGGTATGACTTGGTTTTGCCAACGTACCATGAGATAAATTGAATGCGACGACTGTCTTTATTGCCTTATTACCTTAATTACAGGTTATATGTCATTTCGGGGAGAAGAGGTTATCTATGGCTACATGAAGTATTAAATGGAAATTTTGGAAAAATCTAAGATATTCACAAATAAGTTCCTTAAGAAAGCGGAATTGTTTCAAAGAATGAAAATATTTTTGAGAAAAGTTGAAGATTGTAAAGACTGTAAAGAGGTATATTTCCGACGCTATGAATACCTACACTCTTGATAAATGTTTTTTTTTTTTTTTGTGATTCGCATCCTTACAAGAATTATCATTGGATAAATGCGTACACGAATCGAAGTGAAACATTTTGTTGTCATTCCAAGTCGGTCTATAGTCCGACTGTAGAAACCTATTCAATGCTCAAAAAAAGGTAGGCTTCTTCCTACATTAACTGCATTTACCTTCCAGTTCGGAAATTTTACAATTTTGCTGAGGATTATATCTTCGAATCTTTTCCGTATCCGTGTTGAGAATGAAAAGGATAACCAGATAGACAATATCACACACTCATAACTATGCGTCGCGTTTCGCCATTGGTTAAGGGGCTCTTCAGGCATATTGGTGTGTATGATGGCTGGGAAAGTAGTATATATTTCAAACTTGTTGTGATTAAAAATATGCGGAATTAAAAATCAGAAACCCACAAGTTCGGCTCAATTTGTTTTTCACACCAAATCTTGATTTGTAGCTATGGATTTTTTCTCAACAACAACTATTTTGCTTCCAATGCATACACCTGTTATAGGAAAACGGGTTAATGGTTCTGAACGTTAAGACAGCAACTTCTAGTTGGCTTCACACCAAGGTCCGAGGTTTAAATCCTTTCGCCCTGATAAGGCGAGGATTATACGTTTATAGAGATCAGATAAGTAACTTAACAAACGGCGAAACGCATGGTATAGTGCTAAGAGTGGGATAGTGTCTATCTGGCTTTCAAATCATTAAGATTTTCTTGAAAGAGGAATAAACTAAAAAACATATGATCTTCGCTTAGGTAAAACCCAAAAAATTACATATTTTTTATTTCATATTTTTTTCTTATTTATCCTCCGATATAATATGAAGGGGATTTATTGAATAATTCATTTTTTGTGCCAATATATCTCATGGTGAGATTTTATAAAGTTTGTAAAGTTCTGATCAGTGCAACATTTAAAAGTTACATTGAGGCTCTTAACAGGCATAGTCGATGTCGAACCCAACCTCATTTCTAGCTGAATTGAAATTAAATCTTTAAATTTAAATTGAGCTAAAGATATTCTCGGAAAAAATTTTCAATCGACTTAGGGTTTTGAATAGGCAGGTTTCCGAACTAAATGGATAACAAAAACTAAAACCTCAAAGAATCCAATTTTCATGATTTTTTCCAGTCACGTTTAATGTTGAGCTGGGTTCTCATATGTCACATTCGATTTTATTCTAAAGGTAGGTTGGGTGATGATTTAGATGAAATGCTTCTGCAATAATGGACAGCCAGAAGATCAAAAGTAAGGCAAATCAAAGCTATCAGAAGAGTTTATCCAACATTGTATTGAATTAGTTGAAAAACAATTTTTAAGTCGAGACAAGTTAGCCACATGGAAACAGGCAACGAAAATATTTTCAAAAAAGGTCATTCTGCAGGCTTTTCACAATTAAAAAATCAAAGGAAAACGTTTTTTTTTTTATCTATTTTCAGGGATTAAAATCAGGGTTTTCCTTATATATACATTTTTTATTTAATACCAAAGTTGCTTTATACTCTACTCTTACAATACAAATATCCTTAACAGTAATACAAAAAGGACTTGTATGAAAGCCATGACGTTTTTTGAACCAAATCCTAAAAATCACTCTATAAAAAGTAGACGACGAATAGAAATTGGGCACATTTAAGAATACGTGAAATAAATATTATTGTTGGAAGAGAAAAATTGTCTTGAAATTTCTCGCTTGAACCGTGGGCTAAATTTCAACATTTCAAACTAAAGTTATTATCCATGATCTAATCCAAACATCTGAAATATCATCAATTCATTTCACCACTTCTCTCACATTTTCTTTTCCACTTTAATTTTAGATTTCCCCATTACCATTACCACTCCCTGTATCCTGTATCACACGGTAAACTCAATGCAACAAGAAGTCAAGCACAAGTTTACGCCAATTCATTGAAACTCAAAATCAAAGTTAAAAACTCAAAATTCAAAATCAAAATACAAAAAGCTCTCAATGTATCTCAAAAACTTACCACGATTTAAGCTGCTCGGCGAATAGCTAGGCTGATTTATCACACTGGCACTGGATGTTATGTGAGGTTCATTGCCAGCCGTCATCATGGACGAAGAGACCGGACCATCGCGACTAATATCCTGCATTACGGAGGCAGCACGACTACCCAGGCCAGCTGGCTGTAAAATCGTATATTGTTTTGTGGCCTCATCTTGGGATTTGTGTCCCATCTCCGATTCAACTTTTATCGGTTCCACGGGGGAGATGCGTTCCATTGGACGATTTGATAAAATCGAAGCTGTGCTATGCGAATGATGATAACCCATATAAGAAGACGATGTGACATCTGCCACCCCATTCGAATAGGAGGAGGCGTATGGATTGACATTTGGATAACCGTTACGTTTCATATCTTGCGGCGGCTTAAATGCCGAGGCCTGGGAAAAGGCACTCTTCTTGCGATCATCATAACCATATGGGGTAGTATCCTGTTCCTGATTTTGGGTATTGACTCGTGCCTGGTCGTTTTCCTTTTGTCTGTGGAGGCGAGAGAATTCAAAGTGGTTATAAGTTACATCCTCAGATTGCGTAGGGCTGTTAGATTTTGCTTCATACTTTTGCTTTTCCTCAAAGAGATTTTGAAATGCCGGTGGTTGGTCATCCTGCTCGTTTAGGCGATAGGGATTATTGCGTCCGGCCTCTGGCCAGCTGCCTGAGAGGCTTTTCAATGCAGCCTGGGTTTCTCGAATTAAGGTTTCATCGTCTTGGTCCTCATTTGTGGATTTTCCCATTCCCGTATCAAGGCCACGTTTCTTTTGAGGCAATGCCAAACGTTCGTCCAACTTGCTGCTGTTGTTGTTGTTATTGTTGGTGTCATCGTCACGTGATGAGCGTTTTTTACGTTTAGCAGCTGTTTCGTATTCTGTGTCAACTTTGTTGGCGTTGTTATTTTCGGCAATTGTTGCCGTTTCCTTGGTTAAGGGACGTTTCAGTAGAGCCATGTTTAAAGGCAGTGTGTAAGGGTGGTTGGTGCTGTTCCTGGGGGTTTCCTGGTGGGCTATATATTTGTTTCGCTAAATTTTCTAAAGATTGTATTAAAATGCAAGGAGTGTGAGGAAAGGTTAGCAAAATTCATGGCAAAATAAATAGAAAGCAGAGGATTGAAGAAATGAGGAGGATATTTGGCAGGACATTTGGCTAGAGGAAAATTTTCAAAATATTTCTTCATATAAATAAAAATCATAAAATTGTTAGAAAACAATTCAAAAAATGTTTTTTTTTTTTGGTTTTTCAGAAAAATAATTCTTGTTGCATTGAATTTTCTTTAATTTCAGTCCTTCAAAACATTTATAAAAGATTTCAAACTTAATTTTAATTACCTATTACGATTTGTTGGAAAACTTCTCTCACAAAAGTCAACAGCTTCTGTAATTCTTAATATTCGACATAGTTTTGAATGGCAACCTTTCACGAAAAGTTTCACACGATTTGATTTTACTTTTCACTTTTTTCACAAACTTTTTTTTCTTAAACTTATTCTTGATTCACGTTGACGGACCTTGTCTCACTTGTTTGGTTCGGTAGTTTGTCTGCACTTTGTTGTCAATTTAATATTGTTAACTTTTTTGTTTTGTTTTTTTTTGGGAATTTTTATTGGAGTTTTGAACTTTTTTCTTTTGTTTTGTTTGTTATGGGCATAAGTTTTCTCTTCCTTTAATTTCTTTTTCTTGGTTAAATGAATGCACTTATGGCCAAAACTTTTGGCGACTTTCCGTCAGTTTTGCTAGACGATGCGTTTGCCAAGTTGGTCGTGGCTGGGCTGAACTGGAATGCCTTGCATTGGACCAACACTCGCTGACATAATAAACTTCTTTTGCATCCACACACGGCGATGGCCCTAAGTTTTCCAATACCACTGACGTGTGTTTCGCTCTCGCGTTCGGCTGTTTTGAATTTTCACATCAAAATCGGTGGCAACAAAAACAATAATTGAACTTTTTTTATTTAGTTTTGAAATTGTTTTCTTTGTGATTTTATTATTTTTATGTATTGTTTGGCTGGCTGCTTGTCGGTCGTTTTGGCCAGTAATCAAAGTTCAGTTCAGTTCTAGAATGGCTGGGAAAGCACCGTGCCTTTGTCTGGCTGTATGTGCGTGCGTGAGTTTTATTTTCTTTTATATTTCGAGGAAAACTGTAAAGCGCGCGGTGTCTCTACCTGTTCTAAGTTCACAACTTACTGGCATCAAACTGGCCGAGCAGAGTTTTCCAAAGTTGTCGAACTTTGTTGTCGAATGCAGCAGGCAGACAGCAGCACTCGCTGGCAGTGGTTGTGGATGAATGGTTGTTCGTGAATGTGCGCTCACATATGACAATCTTCTACACTCGATTCAATTGTCTGTGTTTTTTGGGGGCTGAATATCCTTAACGGTTAGCCTTTGCGTCTCCGTCCGCCTCCTTGACGTGGTATTGACGTTGGCAACTTGTAACGTTCAACTAAAGGCACACACATTGCCGAAACACGGTGTCCTCTGTGCTGGCCATAGACACAAAGACGACAAAATCTGAACTGAAACGCTGGCAGCAGAGAGAGACTGGCAGCGTCCTGCTGCTCATGGTGGTGGTGGTGGTTGTGGTGGGTGGCAGGGTGGTATTTTATTTTCGGAGTAAAGCCCCATGCGTATTCAGTTTGTAGCGGCAAGTGGCTTCAGCACCCACACATACCATCAGGCATTCAATTTGCTATATAACACTTTGTATCTCAGTCGTGCTCTGCGCATGATCCATTCCCCTGTCGACTGTCCTACACTCCGAAAATTCATTTGCAGCACGTGCAACTCCATGGGAAAAGCATTTGCTCTAGGCAAAGATTTCCCCTTTCAGAGTATAACACTACTCTAATGATGTACAACTCCTCCTTCTTCACAACCAACATCCTTAGCCTGCCATGACACACACACACCGCCCCTCGAAATCCGTTGCATGTTTAATTGTGAATTCCTTCATGGTAGTGGCGATTTTTTGGGAAACTGTTTTAAATAATAATCTCAGGCAACGAAACGAAAAGAAAAAAACACAAAACAAGTCAAATAAGTGAATTTTTAAACACTTTAGCTTTTCAATAGTGAATTTCAAATCATCTATTTGTTTCTTAACGCTTAACTCAAAAACAACAAACCATCATCGTCAGCGCCAACGTCTTGCCGTGATAAAAGCTGGCCGAATTCGACAAAGAAATTCAAAGAAACTACGATTTTTAACGCACCGTCGGATCTGATATTAAGAAGGGTGTTTGGACTAATTTTCGCGGTGATTACGAGGACCAAAGCTCTGTGGAGCAAATAATATTTACTTGTTGTAAATATAAAATAAAATTTACAATTGTTTACTTGCCTCCTTGTAAACTTTCCGAGATCCATTGTTTTAATCCCCTTGAAACGAAACTACACACATTTCACAGTTATTTCTTGGAAATCGATATCAATCAATAAGTACTTTACAACTGACATCTGTAATGTAGGTCTCAAAGAAAATACTCGCTAAAAAAAGGATCGGTACCTAAGTGATATTGTGTTTATAAAATGATCTTAAATTGGAAAAAAGTTTCAAAATTACGTTGAAAATTGGTGGTGTAACGGACAACAAGGAACATGACCCATAATTTAATTACTCCGCTATAACAAGAAATGTGGGATGGATTCAAACATTGCAAAAGGATACATTGTCGACGACATGTTTGCCATGCATGCGTTCCATACAAAAGATATCTACGTATAGAAACTGCATTGCTAGGGTTTTCCATGAATTAATACCTCAAAGATTTGAAAATAGGTTTGAAAAATCAGATTTTTTTAAAGAAAATGATTTATAATCTCAAAAACGGCAACAAGGATAGTGTATGTGTTCGATATATAATATTTTGCAATTGTGTTGCAGACTTTGAAAAGTTTTTATGTCTCAAAACCGAACATTGGCGTATGAAACACAAGAATGACACCGACAATATGTATGCAATTCTATGAGGAACGGATGAAATATACAGAGAAATGGAATATCTTAAAAATCACAATTTTAGTATTCAACGGTGGAAAGTTGTAACATTTTACATTCATGTATCCGATTTATTAACATGATGTTCCAACTTAAATTATATCATAGGTCTGAGGACTAAAATCCTGCGTGTGGGCTCAGATTTTCAAATTTATGAAATCACTATGAATTGCTATGCAAAAATTTAATTACTGTGAATATATTAATTCAAAGAAAAATATATTTAATTTTTGGTCGAGATTTGCCGGGAGAAGCAAACTTCTGGTTGAGTTCATATAAAGTTGTACGTTTAGAATTCAGTACTAACTTGAAGCTATGGTGTATTTGGTAATGAAAAGAGATCTTATCAACATATAGTCACTATATCTTATAGTAATGACTGATTTCGATCCAAAATAACTGCCATTGCGAGACAATAGTTTCGTACAGACTGATAAAAGAAAAGTTGAAAAATTCACAACAACAAAAAGAAAAAAAATATTTGTGGAAACGTCCCACTCTTTTAATAACACTAATGTGAACATTTTCCAAAACAGCAGATATATGACTAAAGGAAAACATTTGCCGGGCAATATTTTATTAAACATTAGAACTTTTGAATTAGCTTGAAAATATTAGTTAAAACCACGGTGTCTGATAGAACCTATGTCTGGCTTTACAATGCTGGCAATTCAGACAGTTGTTATATATTCACTCAGCAGTAACATTTGATGTGCACAATAACTTTGTTTTAGTGCAAACTTGGCACATCGTAATATTCGTATAAAACCTAAATCAGGTCCAAAAACGGATGACAACAGCTCACTTCAAATTGAAAAAAAATTAAAAAACCATAATTCTCGTAATCATGATATCAATATCGGTTTTTTCCAAACATTGCATATTTGAGCATGTGTGAAATTCGAATAAATCGGTCTAATATTTCAAGCACTTCCCACACAAAAATTAAAACCCGTGGAGAGTACCCGGTACAGTCCACACTTGACACAAGGTAAAATTGATATCAGGTCAAGTTGGGGAAAAGACAATATTGGTACTTTCCCATGAAATATTTACAAAAAATGTCCAATAATTAACTATTTCGAAGGGGACCAGTCTCCTTATCCTCATTTTTATAGAAAAAAATATATATTTATAAATACATACAATTTTTATGTAAAATGAAGTCAGTGTCTGATTTTCTTACATAAAATTAGTTTTCGCATTTAGATGCATCGGCCCACTACCTCTGGTACCTCTTTCATCTTTCTCTCTCTTTTTAATTTGGAATTTGAAATTCGGAATGGATAGCGACCCCTTAGCAGGAAACCAGTACCATCGACACGGCATTTTCAAGACTTGTACTAACCGATTTCACGAGCCAAAGTGAAAATAATATTCAATCCCTATTCTTTGATTTTTAGAGGTTTTCTTTACTTCACGTAGGGTATTAAATGTTCGGCACGGGCGAATTTTACCCTGTTTTTATTAGGGTATAGTGGTAAGGGTGTTATGTTTTTATGCATTTGTTTGCAACAGGGAGAATAGACTCATAGTTACTTCTGAGGTATTCATAGAATTACTTCCTGAGTCGATTTATGCATGCAGGTATGCATGCATTTATTATCCGATTGAGATAAAATTTTTCAAACGATATTTGTTTGGCCCAAGGACGAGCTCTATTGAAATTGGTGATAATCGGATTAGATTTACATATAGAACCATATATCTAAATTGTTGAAATTGCGTACATTGTAGGTATTTTTTACCATAATAAAATATTTTTCGTTCGCTGTTCTTAAGCCTCTTTCCACAAATCTAAATATTCCTATTTACTTAATTATTATTATTATTATTATTATTATTATTATTATTATTATTATTATTATTATTATTATTATTATTATTATTATTATTATTATTATTATTATTATTATTATTATTATTATTATTATTATTATTATTATTATTATTATTATTATTATTATTATTATTATTATTATTATTATTATTATTATTATTATTATTATTATTATTATTATTATTATATTATTATTATTATTATTATTATTATTATTATTATTATTATTATTATTATTATTATTATTATTATTATTATTATTATTATTATTATTATTATTATTATTATTATTATTATTATTATTATTATTATTATTATTATTATTATTATTATTATTATTATTATTATTATTATTATTATTATTATTATATTATTATTATTATTATTATTATTATTATATTATTATTATTATTATTATTATTATTATTATTATTATTATTTATTTTTTTTTTTAAAAAAAACCAAGAGAAATTGAACTGGTGATCGAGGTTTGGTTTTTTAAAAGTGCTGCTATATCGAACTGTAAGAGAAAAAAGCTGTAACTCTTTGAATTCCACGATATAAACTGATTTAAAAAAGGATAAGGAATGATTCATAAAAAACCGAAACTGTTTTTTTTTTTTTTTTTTTTTTTTTTTGTGATGAAGCATATATTTTGAATTGGGTATTTTATGATATTAATGGTACTTAACCTTCTTAAAGGTTTAAATCGGATTTTCTAACTAAATTTTCGATAATTTCCACCGAAAATTAACTCTCCTTTCAAAAAGTTTGTCGGCAACGACTAATTTAAAGTATTTTCAAGGATCCGGCTAAAGGATTTCATTTCTGGCGCTAAAAATAGAAAAATTGAAATCTGTTTCGTATTTAGGAATATCACTCTACATGACGATAGTCCCCAAAATTGAAAGTATTTTTTAGATATTCTTGAATATTCTGCTATGGTTTAACCAATTATTTTGATGAAGGGTTATAGGAACGTATTGTCATTAGATTATAGATCCATATGTTTTTTGCCATTATTTTTTGTGAGAATTCCGTAAGGGTTCTTATGGGTTATCTTCTTTAATAACCCAGGTCTTTCTGAAAGGGCCACAACTGAAACCGGGTGGCATTAAAACTTATGTTTCTATTTAAAATTAAATTAACTCTGAAAGTCTGTCGAGAAATATACTGTAACAACCCTCTCAGGCCATGATATAACACGGATGGATTTTTCTGCTTAAAAATCCATGATTGCAGAGCTGATAATCTATTTTTTGAGTCACATAATCCGATTGCGACCTCACAAACTTGTTTTTAGTTAACATCATTACTTTCTTATTTTTATAAATTTTTAAATTTTCTACTTTCGAGGTATATTGAGTAATTGCAAAACATTTTTTTCCTACTTTTAAAATATGTATATGTAAATACTTATTCTGCACTCTCCATACTTTTTATATTGTATTTTTAAATATGCGTGTGTGCGTGTGGAATTCACGCGTACAAAGACATGTAATTAAAATAATTAAAAAACACAACAACTGCAATCTCAAGCTGGAAGAATTGTCGTTGAAGGAGTATATTTTTAGACAGTTCTTTAGCAACAAAACATATGTTCTTTC